GAAACCTAACCCTAATCCCTTCTGAGTTAGAGCAACGTCAGGATGGACAGAGGGATACACATAAGGGGAAGACAGACAACACGTGAGGGCATGTCCATAGGTAAAGGAGCACACCAAAACAACCAACCCAAACTCACTGCCATTGAGTCGATTCTGACTTGTGGTGATGCCCATCGGGTTTCCAAGGCAGTAAATCTTTATGGAAGTGGATTGCCCGGTCTTCCTTCCAAGGAGTGGCTGGTGGGTTTGAACCACCAACCTTCTGGTTAGCAGTCAGATGCCTTAGGCACTGTGCCACCAGAGCTCCTTAAAGGAATCCCCAAACTCAAAAACCAAACTCACTGCCATGTGATTCCAACTCATAGCGACCCCCATGGGGTTCCCAATGCTTGTGGAAACAGATTACCTTCTCGTTATCCAACGGAGCAGCTGATGGGCTTGAACCACAGACCTTTTGGTTAGCAGCCAAATGCCTTAACCACTGTGCCACCAGCGCTCCTTATAAAGATCACCAACAAACAGCAGAAACCAGGAGAGAAGATTACAGAAGGATCAACATGATCTGAACATTTTGCACCAGGTGACTGAGACAGTCTCCAGCTGGACTGAGAAGAGGGACGCCTGGCCCTCATGTCCTCCTAGTCTAAACCAAGTGCCTCCTGGCACAGGGCTTGGTACCCAGTGGGCACTCTAAGTTTGCTGAATGAATATGTGAATGAGAGGAACAAAGATGTGCAAGAGCATTTGCTGAGGACCTCCTGTCTAGATGCCTTCCAGCGCGAGAACTGCCTGACAGCGTGTAAGTACACGACCTGGGGAAGTGCCTGTCACAGGTGGACACGAGCGTTCACTGGCTGACGGAATGCCCACATTGTGAAGACAAAGGGCTTCAGCTATTTCCCGGAGTCACACCGTCACACCGCGACGGAGCTGAGATGTGAACACGGCTCCCTCTGGTCCCACTGCCCTCTGCTTCACCCCACACCCAGTATTCACCCCACACCTGGTAGTCTTCCAGCCTCTGCCTCTCTCAACGCCTTGCCTCAGCAGCCAGCCAACAATGTTTATTGTTGATAATGATCAATGACTCCACTGTAGCAGTTGTACATAATGGCTTTCCATGGGAGGAATTCCACAAGCCCGTGCTGGGTGAACGGCTGAGTAAAAGCACTGGTCAGACTTGGGGAAATTTCCAGAGCTGAGCTCACGGGTGGGGCGCCTAGGCCACTCAGTGTATTATACCATCCCGCCCCTTCAGAGCTCGTCTAACACCTGTTCACTAACAGTGCATTTAGCAGAAACGGGATGTGCTATTCAACAACACTGGGGATCTTTCGGGGCCATGGAGGCTGGATGAACCCCTGAAACTGCTGCCCGGAGATAAAGTTTAAAGCTTAAATCACCAATATCCTGGCATCTTCTTATAAGCAAACCATAGTTTAGCTTAACTTGTAAAGAAAGCCTGCCTTGAGCGTTGAGTTCTTTTAAGGAATTCTGTTTTAGCAGCTACTCAGCTGCTCACAGTAGAGTCCACCATGGAGTTAATTACCAATCTCACCACGAGGAAGAACTACATCCAGCTGCCCAGCCACTCAACCAGGACTGGCCAAATTGACACACAACCTTAACCACCAGTCACTATGAGTCGGAATCTACTTGATGGATCCCCACAACACACACAGCCAGGAGTCAGGCTGGGGGAGGCCCCTCCCGGGACGGCCATGCTGCTTCAAGCTGGCCTACAGAGCACCCAGGTGTTGCCAGGTCACGTGAACCTGACCCACCGACCACGAACCACTCATGTCTCCTCTCTGCCAGGCACTCACCTCATAGAAAATACAGGAAGCAGACCAGATATGCGCAAAAGTCTGTTTCTGCTCAAAAACATTCTATGGATTTGAACATAAGGTTTCGAGATTTAAACAACTAAATAAATAAAAGGGCAAGTAAGTATTCTGAAACCACAAGAATTATGTTGTCGTTATGTGCCATTGAGTCGGACCCGACTCATAGCGACCTCTCCTTGGGTTTCCGAGGCAGTATCACTACGGAACTAGATTGCCTCATCTTCCTTCCAAGGAACGACTGGTGGGTTTGAACCACCAGCCTTCTGATTAGCAGTTAAGTGCCTTAGGCACTATGCTACTAGAGCTCCCACAATAATTCTAGCTAACAATATTTTCAGACTGAAGACACCCCTGAAGCAGTACTCTTACTGTCCCCATTTCAAAGCTGAGTTAACCGAGGCAGATGAAGGTTAAGGAGCTTGTGTAAGCAGCAGGCCAACCGTCAAAGCTGTATGATTGATTTTATATGTAACAATGAAGCTTGGCCTCTAGGCTTGCCTCTGATCTAAGCTCTGTGTCTTGTTGGACAAGGAGTTACTGTGCTTTTCATCAGAGCAAAAAGCCTTATTTAGAAACCCCACCCCTGCAGGAAGAAATCCCAGACGTCCTTTATTGGCTGTGCTCACCATCTTTGCCCTGGTCCTCAATTCCATTCTTGACAAAGGACTCACAGACATCACTCGATGGATCTGTCAGCTTTATGTAGTCATAGGTCACAACTCTGACCAGTTGCACAAGTTTCAGCTGCACTGGAATTGCTAAGTACCTGCAGGGGAGTAAGCACACAGATCTTGTGCAAACTTAAAAAGACACACATACATTCTCAGATATTTGCTCTTGCTGATGGTGGTGCGCCATTGAGTGGATTTTGACTCACAGCCACCTCATACACTCACGGCTGCTAACTGAGGTAGGCTCAGGAGTTTGAATTCACCAGCCAGTCCGAGGAAGAAAGACCCGGAAATCTGCTTCCATAAAAGATTACTCAGCATCATCAAGTCGATTCCAACTGTTAACCACCCGATAGGACAGAGGAGCTCTGGTGGCGGAGTAGATAAGGCACTTGGCTGCTAACCAGAAGGTCAGCGGTTCAAACCCACCAGCTGTTCTGCTGAAGGAAGATGTTGTTGTTGTTGTTAGGTGCCGTCGAGTCGTTTCCGACTCATAGCGACCCCATGCACAGCAGAACAAAACACTGCCCGATCCCACGCAAGCTCCACGATCCCTTCTATACTTGAGCCCATCATCGCAGCCACCGTGTCAATCCATCTCTTTGAAGGCCTCCCCCTCTTTCGTCGACCCTCCACCCTACCAAGCATGACATCCTTCTCTAGGGAATGGTCCCTTCTGACAACATGACCAAAATAGGTGATAGAAGCCTGGCCATTCTCGCTTCCAATGAGCATTTCGGGTGCGCTTCCTCCAGGACAGACCTGTTAGTTCTTTTAACAGTCCATGAACTTTCAGCATTCTTCACCAGGAAGGAAGATGGGCGTGATCTAATTCCATAAAGATTTACAGCCTAGGAAACCCAATGGGGGGTCGCTAAGAGTCGGAATCCACTGGATGGCAGTGAGTTTGGGGTTTTTGTTTTTATGCGGTTTCCATAGCTGTAATCTCTAAGGAAGTAGAATGCCACATTGTTTTGGAGAGTGGCTGGTGGGTTCAAACTATTTCAGTAAACAGCCCAGTACTTAAGCTTACTGTCCATCTAATATAAGTGAATTTATTTAGAAGGGTAGAAAAGGACTCATGTCCGCAGTAACTAACTAACTCACTGCCAGAGCGCTTTTTTTTTTTTTCCCCCGTTTCTTTACTGAAAATAAGGTCACAGGCACATCCCTTGGGGGGCGGGGAGACAGGCTGCTCCAGATCAAACAAGCAACAGTAAATGGATCTGCAAGTAAAGGGTCTGCTTTAACTTGGGTGGGGTTCTGGTGGCGTAGTGCCTAAGGCAGGTCAAACCCACCAGCCACACCTCAGAAGGACGACAGGACATCTACTTCTGTAGAGATACCGCCGCCTCGGAAACCCAAGGAGAGGTCACTAGGAGTCCACTCCACTCCGCTGCAGTGAGTTTGATTTGGGGATCTATCAGATGTATCAAAAACAAGCAGAAAGTGGTAACACAGCCTTCCAAAACCCCACACACTTAGAAACAAAACAAAAAAAAAGAGTATTTTACTGCAGAAAGGAATAGCCTGCAATGTGATGAATACAGGAACAGTTTACACAAAGCTGTGCTTATTACTAGTGCCTTAAACTAGCATGCCTTCTTCCAATGCATTCACGCACCAGTTAGAGCGGTAACCTAGACAATGAAAGAAGCAAAGACAAAATAGCTCAGCTGCCAGACAACACGCGCAACAGCAGCACGGAAAGTCCGGCCTCCCCAGCTAGTTCCCCAGACAAAGCCGCGTCCCAATATGCACCGCGGCCAGGACTACACATCCCAGCATGCCACAAGGGCACAGCCTCCTGGAGAGACTAAAGTTCCCGACATGCTCTGCGGGCACCCCGTCGGCCTCCCCCACATTGCGAGGGGGTGTCTCAGGGTCATGCAGAAATGGGGTCTATTTCGGCCCTTAAGTATCCCTTTGGAGTCAGGCCCTTAAATATCTACTAATATTAGAGTTTTCAAGTTCTTCCTTGCCTTTTCATTAGTACAGCCAGGAGCCTCTGGTTAGTGCGGGCGGGGGAAGAGGCGGTTCGGCGCGGCTTGCGTCAACCAATGGCACCTGAGCGACTCTCCTGCTGCTATGGTAACGGCTGCCGTCCTTGCGGCTCCCGCCACCCATTGGGTGGAATCTTTCGAGAAGGCTCGAGAAGGAAGCGGAAGTGGCACGTGGAGGGGCCGGTGGAGGCGCCGGTGAGTAAATGCCGCAGATTCTGGAAAGTTCTCACCAGTGTGCTACATAAGACTGAGGGAGAAGCACCTCCCCTTCTGGGTCGGTGTGTGAACGGCTGGCGGCGCCCAGACGGCTATCCGATTTCCAGGGGGCCGCGGAGACCTAGCGCGGTTTTCTCCCATCCGGACTGCAGGCGAGCAGCACAGCTCGGGAACCGGTGAAACCTGACAGCCAGCTGTCCCTGTGTGTGCGCCGGAGCCGCGGGGCCGCTCATCGGACAAGAAAGGAGTGGCGGCAGGAGCGCGGACCGACCATGTCTGTGGTGGGACTGGACGTGGGCTCGCAGAGCTGCTACGTCGCTGTGGCCCGGGCCGGGGGCATCGAGACCATCGCCAACGAGTTCAGCGACCGCTGCACTCCGTAAGTGGGAGTCTCGGGCGCGCGGAGAGAAGGGAGATGCGGGAAACTCAGGACTGCGAAGGGGTCTGAGAACCGGCGCCGGCGGGGCATTACGCATGTGCGGGAGTGGGCAGCGGCTCGGCGCCCCGAGTCGGTGGCCGTCCCCGAGATTTCGCTGTCTTTCAGGGTCGCCCTGTGGGGCGGGCAGCCTACTGGCCAGGCCCGCGACTTGGGCTCCATTTTTGGCAAGCTGGCGTCTGTTCCTTCCGCGGCGCCCCCGTTCCCAGCCGGCCTCGCGGAGCAGGCTGAGCCGCCCCCGGCTCGCCGCCCGCCTTTCCGCCCTTCCTGCGCGCGCCTCTGCGCACCGCGCAGCCCTGGCTGTTCAGCCTTCTCTTCCGCATTATGAATCTCGAAATGCACTAGAAGCTTCCAGAGACCTCTTTGCCGCTTCTTGTCCGCTGAGCCAGCCGGCTGTTGTTAGCGACCCCAGAGTCGTTCCTGGGAGGTGGGCTCGCCTCTTCTGCACTCTCCTGGCGGTGCGTAAATCCAGGGATCGTAGGTGCAATATGCAGACGTCTCTTTTTTTTTTTTTTTTGATTGTCGCAGGAGAACCGTTCTTGCCGGATCTTAAATTATTCTTTAATTTTTTTTTAATCACTTATTACTGCTCTAAATACAGGAGAAACCGTATAAATTGCATCCTTTTGTGCTTGGAGGCCCCCCCCCAATGAATGCTACCGCTGAATTAAATGTTTTATTCTACAGCAGCGGGGGGAGGGCAAAAGGCACCATTTTAAAATGCAACTTTTTTGGGGGTTATTTTCAGAAGAGGCTATAGAGAAATGTAGGGGCGTCGGCATTGATGGAAACGTTTGCTTTCTAGGGAAATTCATTTAGGGTTCTTTTTTTTTTTTCTTGGAAATGGTATGAGCCCCAGACGACAGAGTGTAGGATGGAATAGTGAGCATGTGAAGTAAACGAGCTGGCGGATGCCGTTGTTGGAGGGCAGGTGAGGGAAGGGACCGCAGGAGATAACGCACACGTTAGGCAGTCCCCGCTGCCCTGTGTTCACCTGCGCGGCCAGTCCATCTGCCGCGTTGAATGGGTCAGTTCTGTGACCAGGCCGGGGCTCTGTAATTGGAGGGCTTTGGGGCCAAGGTGCATAAGATCTTTGTTATTCGATCCAATTGAAAAAGAAAAGACAAGCTGTTGAGAGGAGAATGGGGCGGGGCGGGGTGGGGAGAGAATTAGGTGACGCCAAAGACTAGTTTGGGTCTGGAAAAAAAAAGATTGTAAATTGAGGGCAGTATTGGAGTTCCCCCGAGGCGCCCTGATGGCGCGGTGGTTAAGCGCTCAGCTGCCAACCAAAATGTCAGTGGTTCTAACCCACCAGCCACCCCCTGGTAGGAACTGCGAGGCAGTCTGCTCCCTTAGACATGACAGTCTTGGAAACCCTGTGGGGCGGTTTAGCTCGGTCCTCCCGGGTTGCTGGAGAGGGAATCAGGGAATGGACTCTCTGCCATGAGTTTCGGTTTATGGGAGTTCCCACTAAGACGTTGGATAAAAGAGGTGCTTAACGCATCTGCACAGGGAAGCAGCAGGTCCTGTTGGCTCAAGTTAAATCCGAACCCCCCCCCCTTGGAAAACGAGCGGGCTCCTGCAGTGCAGGGCTGCTTGGAGCTTAGGATGCCTGGTGTTCGGGAGCCATCTTAGAGGCCTGGTTTCTGCTGGAACACCCCTCTGGCTTCTAGAATATTCCGTAGAGCACCTGCTCAGGTAATCCAGGATGGGGATGTCACCATTATAGCAAAGCCCCCCTTGATTCTGGTTTCAAGTTTTTAATTATGCTTACTGCCCCGGGAATACGCGAGTCCTTTACCACAACCGCCCCCTCTATCACAGACACGCCGCCACCCCCCCCCCCCACCCCCCCGAAGTTCACTGGAGCTCGTCCCTGCTGGGGTCCTGTGTGTCATCCATACGTGTTGCGGAGAGGGCTGCCCCACGTTTGTACGTCAAAAGGACTGACCCACTGTAGCCGTGCTCACTCCTCCACTCTGCATTCGTAAACTCTGCCCTGGTGTGGCACTTGCTAAGGGTGGTTTGCCTCAGCCTGGTCAGTTAGAATCTTCCAGAGAGAAACCTTTTTTGTGTTCAGAGGCATCTCTTGGGTCCGCTGCTTAGGGGTTTGCATCAAAAGTTTGATCCTAAAGAGGCAGATGGGAGGTGTATCAGGACAGTGATAGGTGTGACGGTGACATTCAAATTGGAGCATTGGTGATTGAGGGGTGGCGTTACAGCATATTTTTAGGTTAATTGTGTGTTTGGGATCACATTAATAATACCCTTTACTCGTCCAAAGCCCATTGAGGGTGAATGTCCCCAAAACCACCAAACCTGTGCCCGTTGAGACGATTTTGATGCATAGCAACCCCACATGACAGTAGACCTGTTGTGTAGGGTTTCTAAAGCTGTAAGCTTTATGGACGCAGGCTGCCACATCTTTGTCGTACAGAGCGGCTGCTGGCTTCAAACAGCTGACCTTCCAGTTTGCAGCTGAGCACTTGACCCCTGCAGCACCATGTCTCAGTAATTTGGGGTTTGGAGAGTACACTGCTCCTGGAGATAGTGGGAAATGTTCCCTGAATTGTGAGCAGATTTTTTTGGGGGAAGAGGGCTGCCACCTGGGTTGGATTCTTGACTTGGGGGGAGTTGGCTAAGTGGTCCCCTTTTGGAGTCTGATGAATGCTGTAAACTCCAAAATTGGGCCACACGTGGGCTCTCTTCCCTGCACTAGATAACCAAAACCCAAACCACGGCCATCGAGTTTATGCTGACTCGTAGCAAACCCCACTGAGTCTCCAAAACTGTAAATCTTGCCAGAAGCAGACCACCTCATCTTTCTTCTGTGGAGCAGCTGGTGTGTTCGAACCTCCAACCTTCTGGTTAGCAGCCGTGTCCCTTAACCACCACACCACCAGGTGGCTTGTATTTGACTTTTCCTTGGCAGTTACAGATGTGCATATGTGGTTTGTGTTTCTTCCAGGTCAGTCATTTCGTTTGGACCGAAAAACAGGACAATTGGAGTTGCAGCTAAAAATCAGGTATGTCCTTTAAGGGAATTCTGACCTGGGAAAGTTTTAAAAGTCAGCTCTTAGGAGACGACCAGAGACTAGAGCACCAAGCTCCCCTCTCTCCCTTGAGAGATGTCATTCAGGCACTCCAGCCCTGATGCGACTTTCTTTTTCCTTTTGTTCTCTTTCTCTGGTTTTATTGACAAAGATCTGCTTTAACTTTCTCCCCTGCCCCCGAGTGCTGAGTAACTTTACTGCTTTCTAATTTATTGTCTAATTTTCAAAAACTTGTACAGAAAGCAGTCAGAGCTCTTCCTGTGGAATTTCTTGTGGGATTCACCTTGGGAGTCATAGGTCCTGTAATAGGAGGCACTCCTTAGACGCTCTTGTGAGAGCGTGTTCAGGTTGCCTGGTAATTAGGGCGGGGCTTGGAGAAGTGCTTGTCTGGACGGGTAGACATGTGCTGTCATGAGCCGTTAGCCAGGTGAGCCACTGAGCACTCGACTTGGCTGCGTTGGCATGAAAGGGACCTTTTAAGGGAGACTTCGAACGAAACAAAGTGATGTCTCATCAGTGCTGTTGTTTCAGTAGATGAGGTATTGAAATGCCAGTATTTTGGCTCTCTTGGGCTCAGTGAATTATTAGAATGGATCTCACCTGTGTTTTCATTTCTGCCTTTTCTCAGTGTGATTTATAGGAGATTAAATCTTCAGAGGTGACTCACATGGGCCATGTCATCATCCTTTTGAACAGTGGGCATATGGGCCTCTTAGAAGGAGGAGGGAATGCATGAGTAGAAAAAAAATGCATCTTGAGAGGGTTTTTTTGTGTGTGTGTGTGATTTAGATGAATGTTTACAGAGCAAATTCACTTTCCATACAGCGGTTCACATATACTTTGTGTCATGACATTGACCAGAGTTTCCTACAATGCAACAGCTCCTCTCCAGCTTCCTCCCCATAGTTACCTCTTCCCTGTGCCCATCCCTCCATGCATTCCTGCCCCCTGAGCTGTCTCCCTGTGCATAAGCAGCCCTTCTTTCTCCCATGATTGTTCTCTCCAAGGAGTGTATCTACTTGAGATAAA